GACGAAGTGACATCGCATGGTTAGCTGATCGACTGCTACCCAAAATGAGTCAAACTTGCGCTCGTTCGCGACAAGCCCGTGATGAAGGCCATGGATGTAGATCTCCGCCGCTCATATAGAATGCCCGGTGGCTCTAGAAGTTCTACTGATACCGTCAATCGCGGGTTATTTCTTTAATACAACTCGAAATCTGCAACCAAGGTCTTGAATACTTTGGCGCACTATGTTCGAGTTTAAGTGCCGATCCTCCACCCGACAGGTTTCTGAACACAGAATATCGGTGCAGCATGAAGACTGAGGCTCGGGCGTATAAACTTCTTTCTCAACATGTCCTCAACTCAACACGGGATCTCGCGTTCGTGCTCAGCCAACAGGCGCCACTGTTGTCGATACGTTGCGAGATTTGGATCTTTCACATCAATCCGGTGTTCGATCTCTCGTATCTCGGGTAAAACTTCGGGAAACTCAGGACGGAACACGTTGTCCATGTATCCCATAAGTAGGTCTTGTTCCGGAAGGCCCAATCCGTCTTCAGATACCGTTGTGTCTTAGCGCTTCCGAGCAAAACCAACATGAAAACTGGTTCGTCAACCAACTTGGTCTTGATTCTCAGGCACTTCTGACGTTTCATCCGCATGACGTACGTGGTCTGTACATTCGCAACATCATTCACACTCATTGCGGACATCTTCTAAAGACGCTGTCTACCCCCCTGACACTGCATCTACCGCTCCTGCAGTACCCTAGCGCTCCTTTTCTTCCAAGCTGTCCGTCACCTCCAAACGCTTGCCGGCTGGCACGTCTCTTTGTTGCTCGCAAACAACACTTGAGCTCTCCATCTGCACTGCGTCGCAGGTAGGTTTGCCCGCAGACTTCACATCCGTTTTCACCACGGCATACCGACACGATTTAGTTTTTTTTCCGTCTCGACAGATCTCCGAAGCGCGGAGGCAATAACCAGTCTACGTTCACAAGTCTCGCCTGTCCGCTTATAGTGCAGAGCATTCTTTTTGTTATCCTGTTCCTTCGATTCGCCGGCCACTCCAGTCGATCTGTGGCTTGTCCACGCCGGCAATCTTCTGTCGCGATTGGTATACTTCCACTTTGGTTTCAATAATTTGGTTGTCCCCCGGCTCAACACGAAGCTTCTTGTCTCCAACCAGCGTTGTATGGAGCTGGTTCCTCGTAACACAACGTTTGGAAATAGAGATCGTGGTAGCTCGACAATCGAGTAGTATACTCGCTGGGTGCTGCTAGGGGCCACCACACGTCTCTATCGGAATATGTGAGAACGGTGGACATGACTTGCAAACGAGAGGTTTTCACACAGAACGGTAAGACTGAAATTGTTCAATTTATTGTTCTGGTTACGTTCTCCTCCGCAGTAGAGTTCTTTTTCAATGACGGGGGCTCTTGTTTTTCTGCGTCGCTTCTTCTCCCTTCCAAGCGTAGGAGTCAGTCTGGATAGACCTGGTTTCTTGCGGTACGATCTTCGATGCGCTAAGTGTCAAGTTTTGGATTGAGCCCACCGTTGTCAGGGTAACGTTTTCCCTGGAAAGGCTTCTTATTTCATGACTTTGTCCGCTTGAGTGCCGCTTTATTTCGATGTGGACTTGGCGATCATTGGCATCTTCCACGAAGTGGGTTATATCGTACTTGGCAGCAAGATCTATAGCTTCCTTCAACGTCGGCGGGTTCGCAAGCATGTAACTGCGATTACCACTGGGATCGATGGTGGGTGTTAGGCTACCAGAGAGAAAAATCTTAATTAGCGACATGAACAGAGAATGCGACCTCC